GCCCCCTGGAGCCGCCGGCCGTTCAGGTACCACGCGATGTGCGCCATCGAGCCCGGCTCCACCCGGCACCGGACCGTCACGTTATCGCCCTCGGTGGCCTCCACGTACCGCGACTCGACGCGCACGTCCGGCCGGCAGTCGAAGTCCTCCACGTCCAGTTCCATCAGCGGTTTGCCGGACAGCCGTTCCGGACCGCCCGCGCACAGCGCCGGTTGGTTGTACGGCACGTTGTTGCCGGACAGCCAGAGCTTCATGGGCCGCAGGTGGCAGTCGCACACCCACGGGTTGTCGTGCAGCTCGATGGACCGCAGCTTGTTGAGCGACTCGAGTACCGTGGCGGACAGCTCGGTCAGCCGGTTGTCGTTGATGCGCAACGTTTCCAGTCGCGTGACGCCCTCGAACGCCAGCCCGGCCACGGACTGCAGCCCGCAATGGGACGCGTCCACCTTGACGACGCCGGGGCAGTCGGCGAACGAGCGCGCCTCGATCTTCTGTATGGGGTTCCGAGCCACGGACAACTCGCGCAAGAACGGTATGTCGCGGAACACGTACGTGGGTACGGACGTCAGCAGGTTGTTGGACAGGTCGAGCTCGATGAGGTTGGTGAGCCCGCGGAACGCGGTCTCGTCGATCTGCCCGATGCGGCAGTTGCGCAGGTACACCTTCTGCAGGTTGGCCAGCCCGGCGCGCGCGAACGTCTGGTTGGGCAGTATCTGCAGGTTGTTGCCGGACAGGTCCAGCACCTGGGTGTCCGAGTCCACGCCCGTCGGGACGGTGATGAGCGCCCGGTCCGCGCACTCCACCGTCCGCCGGCCGCCCTTCCATTTGCACGAGCACACGGACGGACAGCCCTCGAACGGCCGCGCGGACGGCAGCACGGCGAGCAACGCGACCAACACCGTCGCCGCCGCCGCAGCAGCTCTACGACCACTTGACCGCGGCATGTTGGCCGCTGCGCGCGATCCGACCCGAACCGATACGTGGGCGAAGCGTCGACGGAGCGCACGAAAGTGTTCACGAGAACGACGCGCGGCGGAACTCACCGAACACGCGCACACGTTCGCGCGTCTCTTTAAACGTTCGCACGGGGAAACGTATCGAACGAGAACCGCACGACGGTAAAACCGGAGAAACACGATAACAATTCACACCGGAAAACGGTAGTCGCACGCAGTCGCCATCGACGGAACAAACATCGTACGCCGTACGGGGAAAACACAATAAATTAAAATAATTAAAAAAAAAAAAAAAAAAAGCACTGCGCACGAAAAACGCGTACGGAACACGGGTACGTGAAGAGAACCGGTACTGAACTGACTGGGCGGCGCTAGCGTCGTCCGTCTCTCGGCGTTTCCCTCGTCGCCCCCACTCCGGTCGGCTCCCCACCGTTCGGCTCCGGCACCGGTTGCCCTACCTGACGACCGCATTCCCGTCGGTCCGTGACGTCGCAGCACCGTCTCACCGCCGCCACCACCCGCCGTTGGGTTACCTGTGCGCGTGCGTGCGCGCGTTCGTCCGGCCGTGTTGATCACCGCTGACACGACAATGGACGCGATGACGACGGCGGCGGGGGAGCGATGGAACGCCGTCGCTGACTACCGCGGACCGGCGACGTGTACGGGGGGGAAAAAAAAAAAAAAAAACCAATACGGAAAACGTGCGCGACGTCTCGTGTCATCCCGTGTTCGCGACGCGTCGCCCCCAAAACGGAACCAACTCGGAACCCGCGTGCATCCTTTCGGTTCGGTTTTCGCGGCCCTCAGCTGAACAACGCGCAACGTACGTACAAACGTGTTCGTTCCGACGGTCGGTGCCTGCGCGTGCGCGCGCACGGTCGGCGGACGTTCGTTTTTAACGGTTTTTTTTTTCCGTTTTTCCTTTTCTTCCTTTCCGACCGTCCGTAACCCTCCCGGGGCATCGTAGGCGCAAAGCGCGTATCGAAGGATTAACACCCGTTCTAAATTTCCGTTACGTTTTTTTTTTTTTTTTTTTCCTCGTCAACCCGACACGACGACGTTCGGAAAACGCGCGACGGTTTTCACGCAGGTGCGCATCGCTCTTAACCAATGGTCTTCGACCCCTTCAAACAGAACAACGTTGTTCTATCCGTCAAAATGTCGGTTGACTACCGATAAAATATTTGCCGTTCGTTTTATATTTGTTTACCGATATCCCTTCGCTTAACGTCGGCGAGATTATTAACAACTCGTCGTCGGCCGTCGGTGTTCGAACGGCACTTCCTATTCCGGAACCGTTTTATCTCGTCGTTTAAACCGCGCGCAACGCAATAATGACTCGTTTTACGGACATCCGGCGCGATGACTAATTGCGTTATTACACAGTGATCGCGCCGGAACACGCGTTTAAAGCGCATTATCATTCCGGCGCCACGAATTACCGCGAAAATAAGTAATCCGTAATCGTTTACGCGTAATCCAACGCCGGGGACGGTTGACTACGTGGAACAACGGTTCTCATCCGTTTTTCCGTTCAACTCCAACCTCTCAACTACTACATCAGTAATGGAAAATAACAATCATAATTATTTTACAGGAAAATTTGAAATATTCATTTATTTCAATCAGCTCGCGCCGTACTTGAACTCGATTTTTTAAAATCTGACTCCACCCGTGATAAATAAACCCCGAAACTCTGAACTTACAGGCAGTTCATTACGATACATATTTCTTATGAACGTGTACGCGGAAAAGGCCCTCCTTTCCGCCGACGCAGTGTTTGTGAACGGTAGCAGAACACCGAATGCATGATAGCAAAAGATATTCCTTCTTCCGCGCCAAAACGTGATAATAGATTTATTTTCGAATACTGCCTCGAGTGAAGTAACCGTTTTCAGTTCTATTAGTTTTTTCTTTTTTTCTAGTACTGATAAGACTGCAGATATGCAATAGTTTTCGCCAAAAGGGAATGCGATCCAATGGTCTTCTTTTCCACGGACCCTTTGAAATCAAGCGACTGACTAATAGTTAAGATATATGTACACGTACCGCGCACAAATATCGTATAACAACTGAATAGTTGACGATTGTTAACCGCACATGTGTTATCTGTAATACAGCGATGTAACGAGTCTCTACAATTGTCTAAAAATGATCTACATTGTACAGTGTTATAACGATAAAATGTTATCGCATTAATGGCATTAAATTACATGCTTCGTATTGTAATAAGTAAACAATTATTTAACTATTAAATATTTCATTAATAGTAAACTATTTCAGTTACGTTAACTGCACTTTTACCAACATTACTCAATTTTTTTCACGTACCCCCTTGACATCATGTCACGTACCCCTACGAGTACGCGTACCCCAGGTTGAGAACCGCTGATGTAGAACATAACGCATCATTAATTTTATAGTTTTTATTTTATTCATTAACATCATTAACGTATTCGCAACAGTTCCATAAAAATCCGGTAAATTACCGCACCAAGCGTAAGACACCGGCAATACATTAAAATGTGTACATGTTACGGTTATATGGTCGAATTAGTTAGTTTATGAAGTACTTAGGAAATCTGTACAGTTTATACTTTGACTAGTTATTCCATATTTTCCGGGGGCTCACTTCATTACCGTGTCAAATCGTCCAAAATATATACAATATCGTAATTTTTGCTTGTTTCAAATGAAAGTATAACATTAAGAACTCCGACAACTGTGCAGCTACTGAGAGCTAGTCGCGGGGTTTTTTCAAGTTCACTTGTACCAAAAAATTTGGTACAAAACGTGTTTGCAGGAATAGCTTAGCACGAACAAATAAGTAATATAACAATAATTAATCCGGCTTGAAATAAATAAAATATTATAATACATTTTAAATTTAAATGTGTTCTATGATTTAACGTAAATCAAACTAAAATTGTACAGAATAACTAGTTATTCTACGGAATAACTAGTGCAAGTATAATTTCATACTGAAACTAACATTCGCAGGTATTTCATAGAATAACGTAATCCAACACTTTAAATGTAACGTATACATTATTCGAAATAAGTTTTCCAAAACATATTTTATTTTCTCTCTCTCTCTCTCTCTCTCTCTCGTATTAGTTAAACTTTTAATAAGGTATTATTCTTTTTCTGTTTCGTGTCTGAATCCATTACGATGTCGTTAAAACACTCTGGTATATAAAACTGACGTATAAGAATGTACGTTCTGATCTCACGTGCATAAAGCGGCGGTGTTTTCGCGCTGTTTCCCGTTCCATCTAATGGACCAATTAAGTTGTGCTCGAGTTCGTAATGCGTTTTAGGCGTATTAACGCAAGATAATCGCAAGTTATGAGCCGAGACCTGATTTTAAATACGTACGACCGGCATGGGTACCCCGCGCCTAAGCGATGAAATACATTTATTTGTCGAGTTTAAATACATTTTATAATCGAAACGTAGAGCGAGGGGGTGGTTCGACGAAACGTATCGCAGTAGTTTACATAATCACGCGCCCCGGACAGAATTTCTTTGGCGAATTCCTTGACGGTCCGGTACACGAACGCGGATTATTTTTCCTGTTCCCGTGCGGACGAAAAGTGTTTAAAAGAACATTTTATTAGCTATTATACGATAACAATACGTACTGTTGCCCCGAAATGGAAAGGGGGGGGGGAGGGAGGAAAAAACATACCACGTGTACATTTATACTATTATCTTTTTCGGCTCCAGTGTTCGTCTCGCAACACGGTCTACACGGTCGTCACCGACGCCAGAATACGTGTACCGAACATGTATAATATACGTGTGTGTACGAAAGTGTAATGCACAAAAACGTATAAACAGATAATGCACGTGTATAGGTTAGATATAACTTACACGTTAAGAGTTTTAAGAGACGTACGCGTATAATGAGACTCGTAAATTTAAAATCTTATCATCGGATTTACATCTACGCGCGTACGTAATATACGTGTATGCGTTTATAGTTCCTATACGTATGCACTACGAGTGAATTACGAAACGAGCGTTAGTTACGGGGGGTATGTAGTTCTGAGCGCGCCCCCTACGCATTGTCCCTGCGCGCGTGAAGGTGTATAGGAAAACCGTGTACCGCGGGATATTTCGACCGTATAATTTAACGTTTCCTGTCGGAGGACGGTTCATTACGTAAAACGTAGCTTCCCACGAAACCGGAACGATTAAAAAATGATACGTCGAGTTCGTTTAAAGGTCTTTTCTGTAACAACGTGAGTACACCGCGGCAACGTGCGCCGTGTTAAATCCAAATGGGTGGTAATAATTTACACACCCGATTATGTTGCTTTTTTTTTTTTTTTTTTTCTTCGTGGAATCGAAAACTGTTTCTTGTTCTCTTTCACGATAAATGTTTTATACAAACAAATAAGCAAACGCGTTTCGAACAGAAGCAAATGAATAAATATACGAAAGCTTAGCCAGCGGAGTAATGTTATGTTTGTTAAGTACGACCGGTTTCGAATCAAAAATTCGTTGTCGACGGTATACAGTGTCGATAAAATCGCGACTATTTGCTTATTTATTTACGTATTACATATAATACATATTTTTATTTGTATATTATATATAATGTTGATTTTGTTTTTAATTATTTTACTATACATTTAACGTTCGTCGGTTATCGTTCCGATGAATTATTCACATTTCGTTAAACGTCGTCACAGTGCGCACGAAAAACTATTACTTACACGCGCGCATATGTACGACATCGTCCGTGATGTTCTACAGATGCCCCGAGAAACACTATTGTTCATGCTGCCGGTTTCTCAATGCCAAACACATCTGAAGGCAATCAATCAAAATGTATAAACGTTTATTTTTTTGTAAGGATTATCGACGAAACGAGTTTGGTACGCATTGAAAATTGTTTTCAATTTCCGTATAAATGCATTGCAACAGTATAATGCACCGCTGCTCGTTCATTATTCTTTGTACTTAATACACATTATATTTATTATAATAAATATTTCTTTGAAAATTAAAACTGTTTTCAAGGTACTTGAATACTAAACTTACAATTTAACACGTATAAAGTTTCATAAAACATTGTTTTTTTATTATTATTACGAATACATTTTTTTATTATTTTTTTTTTTAAATTGTACGCTTAATGACATTTATACGTCTGCGATGTTTCGAGTACGCAAATTTTTTAATTAATACGTGTGCTAAAGTACAAATACCCATTATCATATTATTTTTATTATTATTATTAGGATTTCGAAAACGCTCTAGTCTCACGAAAACTTGTATACTTTTACAAATTTACATTTGTATACCGACGTACCGTAGATACCGCTATATAGTTATTATTTTTTTTGAGTCAATTACAAATTA